CCATAACTGGAACTACTCCTAACTCATTCTGAGCTAGGAGTTACGACTGCTCAAAGTTGGCCAAAAACTCACTGATTTCCACACTTAGCCAAATTTCCAGATTTTAAATTTTTTTCTAAAAATGACTATTTCCAAATTTCAAGCTTTTCCATAGTTATTTCAAATTGCCGGATGTTACACTTTCCTTGAATTTGAATTTATGGATTCAAGGTTATGATTCATGTTTTTGGATGATTTCTAGATGTTTAGAAGTCATTTAGAGTAGTTAGAATCAATAGGAAGTGTTAATTCACTTTAGAATGACTTAAATAGGCTAAACGACGAAAACTGGTGAAAAACGACGATTTGGGCGCATCCCTGGCGCGCCGCGCCAGCCCCAACTCACTGGGGCTCAAATCTGGCGCAATGCTGGCGCGCCGCCCCAGCCTGCCTGGCGCTATGGGGGCGCGTCGCGCCAGCCTCCTTTCAAGCAAAATTCTGACGAGCTATTGATCTCGTTTTCTGATCCTAAATCGTTTTAATTCGATTCTTTTTCTCAAATTCACTTTAGATTCATGTAGCCAGATCATATACACAAAATCTAACCCAACAACTTAATGAAACAACACTTAATTATCAAGAAACTCCTTAATCCCAACTCATGTTTAAGAACGAAATCAATTCAAGAACAACTACTAAGAACATCAAATTCTCAATCTTTTTAGGACGAAAATACACTGAATTAAACATGCTTGGCGTCTGGGTGAACTAACCCAACGCTATGTGATCTCACATACCTCTTAGGGATCAAACCCATGGCAAAAATCCGCTACAACATGCAAGGATCTCGACGGACGCTTGATCCTCTCCTCTTTTCTCCTCTTTTCTCCTCTTTTCTCTTCTTGAACTCTCAACTAAAACCCTAGGCTAATTTTTGGATTATAAAACTGAACCAAATAGGATTAGACCCTAAAATATTACTAAAAATGAATTAAATCTGATTGGGTAAGGAAAAGACCAAAATACCCCTCATTATTTTCGGCTAACTTTTCTTAACTTCACAGCCTAACTTCAAAAGGCAATATCTCACTCATCCGAACTCTAAACTTAGCAAATTCGGTGGCATTGGAAAGATAATTCAAAGATCTTTCCTAAGGTACCTGGTATCACACGTAACACATCCTGAGCTAGGATTTATGGTCATTTGAAGTTGACCCAAAACTCATACTTAGCTTAACTTGCAAAATTTCAGATTTTGCTATTTCCAATTTAGTTCTTTTTTGAACTCAAGTTGCTTCATCTAGTGAACTTAACACTTAAGAAATTTTAATTCCTCGGTAAAATCCTACTCACAACGAAGGATGGTTCAAGTCTTAGCTCAAAAAATTTATGGGGTGTTACACATTGGTTCCATCTGCTGCAACCACATGAGTGTTAGTTCTCTCACTTAGATCAACATCCATCCTTGTCAAATTGTCCTCCATTAGCATGTTAAGATTCTTCAATTCAACATTGTCAACAATAGGCACTTGCATAGAAACTGGCATCTCTGCACTTTCTGTAAATACAGGATCTGCAGGATCATCATCACTCATGGCAATATCTCTTGGAAACACTGGTTGTTGTGTGTTTGTCACTTGAAGGAAAGGGAACACATCTTCCCTAAACACAACATCTCTGCTCACTATAAACTTGTGTTGGGAAGTACTATATAGAAGATAGCCTTTCTGATTTGTTGAACATCCCATTAGCACACATGTTTCAGCTCTAGAAGAGAATTTATCAGGCTTTACCATCTTTGTTGCATAACATAGACACCCTATGGTTCTAAGATGATCAACTTTTGCCTTGTGACCATTGAACTTTTCATAGGGAGCATGTCCTTTTAATATATACTTCAGTCGGTAGTATGTTTATCAAGTAAACAACAACTAGCACACATACTCACCCAAAACCTGATAGGGATACCACCTTGGAACCTGAGTGCCCTAGCTACTTCAAGTATGTGTCTATATTTTCTATCCACAACTCCATTTTGTTGTGGAGTGTGTGGACAACTACTTTCATGAATAATTCCAAGTGACTTGAATAAAGTACCACATTCATTATTAAAAAACTCTATGCCATTATCAGATCTCACTCTCTTAACAATCTTATTAAACTGATTTTGAACTAAAACAAAAAATGACTTCAATTTTGCAAACACATCACTTTTCATTTTCATCAAATATAACCAAGTCATTCTTGAATTATCATCAACTATAGTCAAGAAAAATCTACAACCATTGTGAGTAGCAGTCTTATAGGGTCCTAAACATCTAAATGAAGTAAATCAATCACATTAACAACTCTAGACATGCTTATCTGAAATGGTAATCTAGTTTGCTTTGCAAGAGGGCAGACTGTACATTTATTACATGAACTGAAATCAACATTCTCTCCAGACAAAAGCATGTATTTCAACACCTTCATTGAAGGATATCCTAGCTTGTTATGCTAAAGTAGATTGTGATTATCTGAATGTTGTGTCATGGTCACTATCCCATTATTCCTGCCCTTTCCACATGGGATCTGAGTAGGGAAGTAGTATAGACCATCAACCTCCTTACCAATCCCCTTCACCTCCCATTGGAGAGGTCCTGGATGACAAAAAACTCAGGGAAAAAACTAATTGAGCATCTCAAGATAGTTGTGAGACTGAAAGTAAATCATACTTAAACTCAGGCACAACTAGTACATTCTTCAATATGCCATCACTAACAACTTTACATTCACAATCGTGTGTTATTAGAGAGTGTTCACCATTAAGTAATTGTACTTTCCTACCCATACAACTAGATATAGAGCTCAACCTAGAGTTTTTTTATGTGATATGACATGTGACACCTGAGTCTAATATCCATTTTTCTGCCTTTTATGTTTCTCTACTTGTTACAGATAAAGCATTAGGTTTGGAAATTATACCTGTCATGTTAACCATGTCTATTGCACCTCTTGAGCTTGAAGCTGGTTCATCAATGTCTATTATCTTCTTATATTGATGGTACAAGTGTTGCTCTTGGATCATAGGTGCAAAAGCATCAGCTGAAGCTTTTTCATATCTAACTGAGTCTACTTCATATCTGCCAGTATTCACCTGTCTTCCAGCATTCACCTGATTCACCATGTCTTGTTGCATATTGGCTTGATAGGCTATTGGTCCTGACTTCGTCTTAAACTTCCAGATAAGAGGCTATACAATCAACTTAAAACAGTTTTCCTTAATGTGACCTTGAAGTTTACAATAGTCACAAATTTTATCCCAGTCTTTCTTCTTAACCTGGAACTTCCTCTGAAAATTTCCTTTTCCAGCATACAAAGCAGTAGGATCTGGAACATGCAAATTTGAAGTCATTCGTTGGCTCTCATCTGCCATGATCATAGAATATGCCTTTTCAACATTGGGCAAAGGATACATCATCAAGATCTGACTACGCGCATGACTATAGACTTCATTCAATCTCATCAGAATATCAAACAGCCTTAAACAAGCTAGATGATCCACATAAGTTCTAGATTTATCACATTTGCATGAAGGTGGAGGAACTAGGGCATCAAATTCATCCCATAACAATCTTAATTTCAAAAAATAAGCAGAAACTGTCAAATTACCTTGATGAATCGTGCAAATTTCCATGTGCAATTGGTAGCCTCTTGATCCGTCAACTTTATCGAACCTTTCTTTGAGATCTGCCCAGACCATAGTTGCATTTGTGGCATAGACTATACCACTAAGCAATTCCTTTGGTACAGTCTTCATGATCTAAGCCAATACGAAAGCATTACATTATTCCTGCTCTTCCAACTCTCCCTCATAAGCACTCCTCTTACACGTTCCTAACACAAACCCCAACTTACTTTTAGCTCGAAGGTTAATCATTATGGATCTGCTCCATAAAGAGTAATTTTCAGTTCCTGTAAGTTGCACGGTGGTGAGGACACTTCCAAGAGTATCTGAGTTGTGAATATAGTGGATGATGATGCTTTCGATCGATCTCTTCAAGAGTCTCAACTGTAGTTGCTCGTGATTTGCTTGGACATTAATGGAGGTATCTGTAGCATCCTCCATCAAGCTGTTTCTTCAGTAATCCCAATCAAACAGTGAATGGATGATTGAATCGATTTTCGATTCAAAGCTCTGATACCAAATTGAGATTTACAGAAAGAATCATATTGAAGAAGAAGAAGAAGAAACTCACATTCATTCAAAGCTTATGTGAGTTAGTTACAGATGTGGGTATTTATACAATACATTATATACATGTGTTGCAGCTACAATATTAACAAACTAACTAACTCCTAATTGATCATTAATCAGGCTGGTTAATTAAATACCTAAGCTAACCATTTCACCAACTGACAGAGTTAATCAATTAACGACCTATCTAACAGAATTGATCAATCAGTTAACCAATTCCAATATAAACCATATATAATATAAATTCATCTAAAACTTAATCATGAGATATTACACTTTATTGGAGTACCAAATGAACCATTTAAATTTTAAACTTTGAGAGAAATACTAAAAACACTTTTAAACTCGACGTAAATTATTAGTTTCACTTATAAACTATTGACAGTCTTAAAAACATCTCTTAACTTGATTAACTAAATTTAAATACTCCCTCGATCTTACAACATAAATGAAATACACTTCTACATTCTCTCCACATTTACTATAGTCTCAACAATTCTTTTGTTTTTTTTTTATTAAAAGAGCATCTTGCTTCTATAAGAGTTTGAGAGTTGAGATCATCTGTTATGTCATGTGGTAGATTGATGGTGTTTAAGTTAGTCAAGAAAATAAAAATCATTTAAGTCGGTCAATAGTTCCGAGACTTAATAGTTTTCTTACCCCAGTTTCCTGTCTCTCCCTAAAAATGGCACACATATGTTCCCGCCAGTTTTCCCTTGTTTTGAATTTGATAAATATTTCTTGAAATTCTTTAGAAATCTTTGAATCTATTGAAAAACAAAATTGCATAAATTATTCGAATGGATCATCAAAACTCGCAATCTTTTGTCTCTCAGTCACATTTCTATGTATCATTTCTCCAAGACAGCTTGAAATCGAAAGACCCATTTCCCATAAAGTTAATCCATGGCCGTATAATCAAATCAGGCATCCATTTAAGTGTTTTCCTTATGAATAATCTCATAAATGGTTATGCGAAAACCGGGTTTTTATCGTATGCTCGTAAAGTGTTTGATGTAATGCCTGTGAGAGATACTTCTTCTTGGAATACACTTTTATCTGGTTATTCAAAAGGGGGTTTAATTAATGAAGCACATTCGATATTTAAGGAAATGCCTTATCGGGATTCTGTTTCGTGGACTACTATGATTGCTGGATACAATTTCGTTGGTCGTTTTCAGGTTGCAATTCAGATGTTTCTTGAGATGGTTAGTGTATCTGATGTTTTGCCGACACAGTACACGTTTACGAGTGTTTTTGCGTCATGTGCTGAGATTAGAGCGTTAAACGAGGGACGGAGAGTTCACTCCTTTGTTATTAAATTTGGGTTGAGTAGTTATGTTTCAGTGGCGAATTCTATGTTGAATATGTATGCTAAGTCAGGGGATAGAAATGCAGCTCAAATGGTTTTTGATGGGATAGTAGTGAAGAACACGTCGAGCTGGAATACGTTGATCTCATTGTATATGCAGACTGGTCAGATGGATTTAGCGTTGGTGCAATTTGAGCAAATGAATGAGCATGACATAGTTTCGTGGAACTCAATGGTTACGGGCTATAATCAGCGTGGCTTTGACGTTCTAGCTCTTAATATGTTTTCTAAAATGCTTAAAGAATCGTCGCTGGAACCTGACAGATATACTTTAGCCAGTGCTTTATCAGCGTGTGCTAATCTTGGGGAACTAAATGTAGGAAAACAAATACATGCTTATCTTGTCAGAACTGAATTCAACACGTCAGGAGCTGTTGGAAATTCTTTGATTTGCATGTATTCCCGAAGTGGTGGCGTAGACATTGCTCGAAGAATTTTAGAGAAAAATAGAGAGTCAAATCTAAATGTAATTGCATTTACAGCACTACTGGATGGGTACATAAAGCTTGGTGATATAAATCCAGCAAGGAAGATTTTTGACTCATTGAAGGACCGTGATGTAGTTGTTTGGACGGCGATGATTGTTGGTTATGTTCAAAATGGCTTTAATGATGATGCAATGGAACTCTTTAGGTTAATGGTTAAAGAAGGGCCAGACCCGAATAATTATACTCTAGCAGCAATGTTAAGCGTTTGTTCAAGCGTGGCATCGTTAAATCATGGTAAGCAAATCCACTCAGCAGCCATTAAGGCAGGGGAAGCATTATCAGTTTCTGTTAGCAATGCCCTGATAACTATGTATGCCAAGGCTGGAAATATCAGCTGCGCAAGGAGAGTATTTGATTTGATACACCTGAACAGAGACACGGTCTCTTGGACTTCGATGATCTTGGCTTTAGCTCAGCATGGACTTGGAGCTGAAGCCTTACAATTGTTTGAGAATATGCTTGCACTTGGGATGAAGCCTGATCATATAACGTATGTTGGTGTTCTTACTGCTTGCACACATGTAGGATTGATTGCTCAAGGCCGTAGTTATTACAAAATGATGAAAGAGATTGATGGAATTGAACCGACATCAAGCCATTGTGCTTGCATGATTGACCTCTTTGGTCGTGCTGGATTGCTAGAAGAAGCACAAGACTTCATAGAAAATATGCCTATAGAACCAGATGTGATCGCATGGGGTTCGCTTTTAGCATCTTGTAGAGTTCACAAAAAAATGGAGCTAGCAAAAGTTGCAGCTGACAGATTGCTTTCAATTGATCCCGAAAACAGTGGGGCCTACTCAGCACTTGCTAATGTGTATTCTGCTTGTGGAAAATGGGCGGAAGCTGCTAAGATCAGAAAATCAATGAAGGATAAACAGGTGAAGAAAGAACAAGGATTTAGCTGGATTCAAATAAAAAACGTAGTCCACGTCTTTGGTGTAGAGGACGGGCTTCATCCGCAGAGAGATGCTATTTACAAGACAATGGAAAAAATCTGGAAAGATATCAAAAAGTTGGGATTCATTCCTGACACTGAGTCAGTGCTTCATGATCTTGATTATGAGGTGAAAGAGCAGATTCTTAGACATCATAGTGAGAAGCTTGCAATTGCATTTGGGTTAATAAATACCCCGGAGAACACTACTTTAAGGATCATGAAGAACCTTCGAGTATGTAATGATTGTCACTCAGCAATCAAATTTATCTCCAAGCTCGTAGGGAGAGAAATCATTCTGAGGGATGCCACTCGTTTTCACCATTTCAAAGGAGGTTTCTGCTCATGTCATGACTATTGGTAGGTCATGAACCAAATTTTATCTAAAATTCCACATCTGGACAAAATTCAAACGGAGGTTTATCTATTATTATTATGTAAGCAGTAAGATCCTGATATGCTTCCATTGTGCATATATGTTTTCCAACAATACAATTGGCATCAAGAGCCACGCTTACATCTTATTAGATAACATGATATATATATGTATGTATATGTTTTCGATACATACATTAATATGCAGTTTTTACGTGAGTTCAGTGTATAGCCGAATTCAATTATGTTTAATTACTAATTGTTGATAATTGTGGTATATCACGATGATTGCATATGTCAACCAATATTAAAGTTTTTTTTTAATTATTGCAAGTTGAGTTACATTGCATTGCAAAGTTAAAAAGAATTAAAAGAAGAGAAGAAATCGGAGTATTGAACATTGTGACGTCTGCAAATTAAGTTTTGCATAAGAATTAAAGACTCTAATTTTCAGCACTGTTTTTTTCTTGATTCTTTTGGTAATTAATATTTGTTGATTGGCTGGTGACTGTTTGTTATATTGCATGTGTCGGCGGCTACAGTGGTACCGTAGGGCATCACCGGTTTTTCATAGTAATATTTTTTGGCAAAGTGAGCGTTTAATTTAATTTAATTTAATTTTTTTTTGCCAAACAATTGATACTACAATTAACTGCATGTGCTCATTCTTTTGGACTGGCCAATAATCAATTCTTTCAATTATTTGGTTATTGTCTTTGTCACACGGCATTAAACTTTTCTCATACGTGTATAATGTAAATATAATTGAGAGTTTGTGATTAATAAATAGTGCTACCATTAAATGGTCTATTTGTTTGAGATCACTTAGAAATTCTTAAAGCTTTATATATGTGGGATTATACCAATGTATGAATTGAGAATAATGATTAATAAATAGGATTTATGAAAGTGGTCTATTTATTTGAGTCATTAGAATATCTTCAATGTATCATGTATAAATTGCCCTAAGTGAATATTGGTGGTAAATATTTATTTATATGAATGGATATTTACCTTAATATGCTAATAATGCTTAATTAATTCATGAGAATAGATATTAAAGGTTTTCTCTGGTCTAAAAGGGAAAAAATGTAATATCTTGAATTTTCAGATGTATTAATTGAAAGGACAATTTTGATATAAGAAGGTGTTGTGTGTCTTAGTAAAAGAAAGGGCACAACCTATGCCTCATGCTCATGGGATAATAATTAAAAGAGAATGAAAATTGAATCTAGTTATTTTAATCTTTAACTATACCTAAAATAATTATTTTTCAAATTAGGTCATTGTTTAAGTGGTCATGATTTTTATGATCTCTGATTGACTTGAAATTTGGTGGTTTCATTGAAAATTGTTTAGATGGGTTTTAAATAGTTTGTCGGATTAAATTTGATTTGAATATGATAAGATCATTCTTTATGTCAGTTATGTTCATGTAAAATCTAGAACATGATTACACATGGTGATTCTACAAGAATTGATATGTGATAAGAATGTAGGTCATGTTGTTTTAATTCCTAAAGATGCTTAAATCAGTTGAATTTGAATTTGGTCACAGTTTTGGAAATAAATTTCTTATAGATTCCAATTGTCCTGAAATTTGAAAAGTTCATTGATAACGGCCTAGTAAGAAGTACTCATTTCTATGTGGTTATAATTCTTTGATGTCGTTAAAATAATTTTTGAATTGTTCTTTGGAATTAAATGTGACTTAGTATGAATGACATCCTTTATATTGTTTTTATTTATGTTATATGTGGTACATGATTACACGTGATGAGTTAACACAAATTGAATATGATAAGGATGTAGATCTGTTCATTTTTCCTCAAATTGTTTGAATCTGAATTTGATCATAGCTTTGGAGATAAATATTATTTTTGAACTCCAATTGATCTGAAATTCGGTAGGTTCATCAGAAACGATCCAATTTAAAATACTCATTGTTATGCAGTGATTTGGTAATTTGAGGTCGTTCAGATGAATTTTTTTTTGATAATTTTTGTATCTTGAAAAATTGCTCAACTATGATAGATAGTGGTGATAGAGTTTGTTCTCTATGATCTTCATGACTAAATTTTAGTGAAGTATTAAGTTCATGTGTTGGCTTAGACCTTCCTCCATAACGGATGAAATTAATACAAGTCATTAAAGTTTAATCTCTAGTTTTGATTATTTGTATTGACTCTCCTAAACTGAGTAATATTTGATCGGATCAATGGATCTAGGGATAAAGATATTCACTTGACTTAAAATAATATATACTCTCCATCTGAGTTAGCTTTTGTTCTAAATTTATTGAAGTGAATATCCGACACCATGTATGTATGTTGCATGAGTAGTCATTTTTTCATCAAAATTTATTGTTCAAGATGCATTGATATCTATGAGGTGTGTTTTTGAATTTTAATATTCAATGTATACATAAACATGCTTTTCTTTTGGAATTTTAGAATTTTGTTCTTTATTCTTAATTCGTGTATCTATTTCACAAAATGATGATATATGATAAGAATTACTGGGCGGGAAAATCTTAAATTCTATTTTGGCCAAACAATGTTTCAACCAAATTGATCATAGTTTTGGAATTCGGAAAAAAAAACTCTGATTGATCTGGAATTTGGTAGATTCATAAGAACAACCTAGTAAGAAACTAAATTTTTTTGGATCGTTATATGAGTTTTTGGTCATATTTGATTAAATAGTAGTGAAGTATTAATTTTATGTGCTGGCTTAGACCTTCCTCCCTATCGGATGAAATTGATACAAGTCACTATGTATTTAATCGTCTAGTTTTGATAATCTGTATTAACTCTCCTAAACTGAGTAATATAGGATTGGATCAATGTAACTAGAGGATTTTCACTTGACTTAAACTAACAGTAGACTCTCCATCTGAGTTAGGCATGTATAAGGTTATGGAGTAAATAATCGGTCATTGTACATGTGTATTGCATGAGTAGTTCTCCAATCTCATCGATTGGCTATTCGAGATGCATGGATATGTTTACATCCCTACTCTATTCGAATAGGGCGAAAGGTCGCGATGACTCAAAAAATAATCAATTGATTCAATTTTAAAAGAATTTTAAGAAAATAAGAATTTTAAAGAAGTCGCCACCTAATTTTAGGATAACTAGGAAACCAATTAATTAATCTACGAAACCAAGATATTCTAGGTAAGGGGTTCAAGTTATTCCGAAGGGAAAGGGTTAGGCATCCTACAAAATCCACAAATGTGGGTCCCGACTGAATTCATTTTTTTCAAATTGAGGATGAGAATAAAATAATGTACAAATATAATAAACATGCAATATACACAAGTAATATGGTAAAACAATAATATAGGAATCGGCCTAGATTTGCCTATCGTCAATAATATACAATATAAATAGGAGTATAATTCGAACCTAATTCGAATAACTTCAATAGGAAACACCTCCGGGTACCTGTAAACACACTTAGTAAAAGGGTTAGTTATAAATAAATAAAAATAAATGAAATAAATAATTGAAAATAAAACCCGTCTTATTAAAATGGGAGGCCTTGGAAATCGACGGTAATTTCTTCATCGGCCATTTTAACTTACAAAAAATATAAACTTAAACTAAATTTCCGTCTTTTATAATGTGGAAGCCTCCAAAATCGACGGAGAGATTTTTTCATTGGCCATTTTGAACAAACAAAATATATGAACTAAAACTAATTTTCCGTCTTTTACAATGTAAAGGCCTCCAAAATAGACGGAAATATTTTCTCATTGGCCAATTTTAACATAAAATTTACATAAACTTAAACTAAATTTCCCTCTTTTAAAATCTGGAGGCCTCTAAAATCGACGAAGAGATTTTTTCATTGGCAAATTTTAACATAAAACTTATATAAACTTAAACTAAATTTCTGTCTTTTAAAATGGGGAAGCCTCTAAAATCGACGGAGAGATTTTTTCATTGACCAATTTTAACTTATAATATATAATGGATAATAATAACAACCAAATTAATAAAAATGGCAAAACGACCTCTATGAACAAACTTTAACAGGAAAACTTCATATCAATATTAAAAGTTAAAATAACAAATTATCAAAGTAACATCATAACAACAGCAAACCCAACAGAAGATATATATCAAACATCTATAAATTATTAAATTATTAAAATAACAACAACAAATATGACATGCACAATATCGAATAAATAAAATCCTAAATGAATTAAAGAAACAAATAGCAGTGTCATATTATCCATAATCATAAATGCTAATAGAATGGTGCTAATTAATTGAAGTAAACACGACAATAATAACCCAAAAGAAATAAAATGAAACCCAAAACAAACAAGAACTCAGTGATGTTGAACTAATATAATGAATGTGAAAATGGCGAAGCAAATATTAATAACGAAAATATCTATATATTGAAAAGAGAAAAAAAAAGCAATAACAATAAAAAGTTGAAAAATAGACAAAAATACATTTTAAAAATATATAGAATTAAAAGGGGTCACCGGAGGTTGTTTTCTGGCCAAATCTGGCTGTGGTTTGCCGGCGATGAACTGATTGTCGCTCGTTGGTCGTAGCTTGACCGGAAACAACTGAAAAAATGAACAAAATCATCAAGGGGAAGGGGAAGGGGACTAAGTCGCGACTGGATTTGCTCCGGTTCATCAGAGCTTGAAGCTCCTCGCCAGAGCTAGCCGCAAGAGAGATAAACAGAAGAGGGAAAAGGGTTGTTTTTTCGGAGCGGCGTCAATGGTTTCCCTAGTCAGTGAACCGTAGCACGTGGTAAGGGAGGACAATGGTCTTTTGGTGGTTTTGGATTTGTTTGGAGTTGTTGTGGGTTGATTTTTTATGGAGTCTCGCCGGAAAAGAGGACGAAGTGGGTTTTTGGATGGCTGTGGTGAGACCTTGGCGGCTCAAAAAGGGAAAAATACATCCATACTCCTTCTGAAAATTATACACCAACCCTAATTTTTATTTCACCACCCCTTTGCTTTTGACCTAAATTTACTTAAGTA